GCCTTTAAGTAACGTAACATTTCCATAACTCAGCATACTACAAAACTGATATTTTTTACATCTTTATAAAGAAAAACTTTAATATGGCATTAATAATCTGATCTAAAATCCTAGATAATCAATGAGCATATATTTGATATGGTCCCGGATATTAAGTTCTGTAATGTCTGTCCCTATCAAAGATTGTGTTGGATTCTATACAACACATAATGCAATGCGCGGTTCAATGACGTCATACATAGCAAAGGTATGACAAGGCCAAACGTCAACAATACTAAAGCTCTCGTTTAACGTCTGGATATTGCAATTCCCCCTTTCTTATGAGATTATGATTTTCATCATACAACTTAATGGATAGCATGTATATTATACGATGGAACAATATTGTTTTTGTTTAAACGTACATGTGCTTGTAATATTTTGATAAACGATATTAAATAATACTCTCTTATAGAATGTAACATGTATTATGTTCATTAATTGATTAAGAGTCACAATAATCAGATTTCTTTCATAATCACCCAAGTATGCGGTCTGTGTCTGTTTCTTTGTGGCCTAATTCCCGGTGTCTTCGGTAATTCAGATTTTAGGCTGCTTGGTGTATTGCAGTTTCCTATTCTGATTGTTGTTCCGATTGTCCCGTTTCTGGGTCTTTCCGATTGGGCAACAGTATTAGTTATTCTCCCCAGTCTCGAGATTCTAACATTTTATTGTAAGTTAGAGGTATTTCTTGTCCTTCGATTCTCTGAACTACTGGATTCACATTCTTGAATTTGCTTGCGGTATGTATCCCTTTCACCTGTAATACATCTGGCTGCAATACTTGGTTTATAAGCTGTTGTTCATTTGTTCTTCTTTCCAGTGGCGGATCCAGGGGGCAGGGGGGGCCATGGACCCTCCCAAACGCAGACGATTCATATCATCTGGATTACGCATAACTTCTCTGCGATTTACGCTCCGTATATCTTAAGCGAAGCTTGGCCCCCCCCCCCCAATACATTTTGCTGGATCCGCCACTGCTTCTTTCGCTAGTATCTCCTATTCTTTCTGAATAAACTGCTATATTTGTCAGTCATACCTTTTAACTGATTTCTGTCTTCTGTGACAGCCTTGATATCGGTTTCAATTCTTAAGCTAGTGGTTTCTGCTAGTGAACTCTCTGATTGAAATTATATCATGCCTAGATGATTAGTGGAGGTGGGTTAATTTTGCCCTTGACTATGAATTTGGTTGCTGCTCCACATGTCTTTATTACTCACAACGGTTTTGAATTCACCTTTGATTGGTAGATTGCTTTTGTTACAATATTTTTTATTATAGATGCTCAGAAGAGAATGATATCATTTACGCACATTTGATGAATTACTTCATCAAGCTCAAGATAGTCTACCCGACGTACTTTGCATCGCAGGTGACATCATAAGTCATAGCACCAGCGTCTACTGACTGAACAAGGATTGAAAGTACACCCTAACGAAATAAATTAAGGCGATTCTAGAAATGCAAAAACCTGAGAATCCAGAAGCTGTGCAACCATTAAACAGAATGGTAAATTTTCTAAGTCGCTTCCCGAAGTGCATCGTTAAGCACAGTTTGCATGCAAAATGTCATCCAATCGCCCATGGAAGTAGAGCCTTTTCCACCTACAGAATTGAGGTATGCACTAATTGAAAAAAAAAATGAAAAATGTCATCAATATACATACATCCGTCACACCAGAGTATACAGCGACCACAAGCCACTACAAGCAAAACAGAAAAATGCCCTGCAAAAGCGCCCAAAAGATTGCAAAGAATGATGACCCGTCACAACACAGAAGAAGTGTTTCTCTCAGACACATTATCCAGAGCGTATTTACCACAAAATGACAAAGTCAATGAGAAAACCACATTTGAGTCAACACGGCTAGATTTCTACCTATACACATGGAAAGATTAACACAAATTCGCAATGAGACAAAGCAAGATAAATCTCTAAAATTCCTTCAAAACGTAATACTGTAAGGTTGGTTGGACAGAAACCTTCCAACACAACATATTCCAATTTCTATGATGAGTTATCCGTCAAAGATGATCTTATCTTCAGAGGTGAAGAAGTAGTAATTCCGCACACACCAAGGAAAGAAATGATGATCAAAATACGTTCAGCACACATAGTTAATGAATGATGCTGGCAAAGAGCATGTGAATGTATTTACTGACCTGGAAGATCAGCCAATGCAAACATATCATCTTGTGAAGGTTGTAGAACATATGTGATAAGACCATCATGAGCCATGAACGCCCTGGGAGAAGGAGTTACGGTTAGGATGAAGCCGTTCATCCTATGTCAGAATCAATAGCACAAAGTAGTTGTCACACATCGTCTGGATGAAACATTGTATGAAATTGAATCATCTATATTCAGACGCAACAGAGTTGATCTTAAGAAAACCATGTAGCCAACACATGACCGTGATTGACAGACAAAACAATTCCAACATTCCACCAAGTACACAATGGCCATCCCTTGTACAACACTTAGGAAGTGATAGTTATAGTCCTCAAAAATGTAACGACTTGCAATTCGCAAAGGCGACATCACTGACCAAGAAATTCCCCAATTAGATCCAGAAGCGGTCACCTATTTAAGACACCATCACATGTTGAGGACAATGCGACTTATTGTGTGACCTCTGTGACATTGATATTGACTATGAACTCTGCCAATTACTTTCGTATACAAACATATGGCAACCTGCTTGCTTCATTTGTTTTATACGATTCTATGATTATTCATGTTCGTGTTTTATATTAATTCATTTACGAAGCAATTTTGACTTCCCTTATGTGCTCCATTTAATCTACAGTTTCCACACCGTTTCTGTTGTTTTTTTGTTTTGATTCAAACGTATCTGATTTCTTAGGTTGCCTATATTGCCTTACTTTAACTATTGGCCTCTCTTCTGATGGTTTCATATCACGTAGCTGTAGTGATGTGTCCTCTAACTGAGTTGCATTGGTTCTTTATTAATGGCTTTCTGGATTATGGCCTGTTTGTCAATTGTTTGGATCAAATCTTCCAAAATCCGCTTCTCACAATTGGTACTGAACTAAAATTCATGAGCTTTTTTCTAAGCCTAGCTGCATAGCGTGATGTTTATTTTCATCGGGGTATAGTATGCATCAAGTTTATTCTTCAATTTTTAATACACACCTAGGCACCATTTCCCCCCATTATTCATCAAAGTATCTTTCTTGTCTATGGGCTCTATTATTCTAAAATACCGAAATTCTTGCTCAAGGCTTTCTGACCACTCTTCCCAAGCTTGGCCAGATGTTATCTGATCATCACCATGTGTGAACGGTTGGCATTTGAGGTTTCATGGGTGGTACATTTATGACACTAACTATTTATCAATTACATATGGTATTCAAGGCTTTGTGTATAATGATATTTAGATAAGCAAAGTGCTGAACTACATTACATCTTTCCTTTAATTAAAAATAAATAGCATCTTTCGAATAAGAAATAGAATTCATCTGTGAGGTTGAGCTACATATTGTACTGATTCATCGATATGTAATTACACTTGGAAATCCTACATCGTTCCAAAACCATTGTCAGCATCCTTTATTCTATGTTTTTGTCATATTATCTCAAACCCTGCAAATAGAAGTGTCTATGGAATCACGGGAAGAAACGGTGTGCATTGCCGTGTGATAACTGTCATGAAGGTGAATGACAGGTCATACTTGTTTACCACTCTTGACAATTTGAATCTACCAGGTGTGCTGTTATTTGAATATCAAAAGATGTTTATGATCTACTGAGTTGCCTACGTGACACAGCTGCTAGCAAGATAACATTCTGATTGGCTTATGTGGAAACCCAGGTGGTGTCCCCGATTCAATCACCATTCTGTGAGATTTGTATGAACTGCTCTGCGATCCCCTGCTTTCAGCGGTGCCAATTGCAATTAAGAGGACCACCCACAGAACTCACACTGGACAGGGGGTTCTTTCACTGCTAGAATGGGGTAGACAAGACAATAATATTGGAAATAAAATACATATACACCTAAATATCGAGTTAAAGCTCCTCCTTTTAATACCTCTCAAAATAATTACAAGAAATAAAGCACAGAAAAATACAATGAATAAAGTCACTAAAATGGGGGGTTGCTTAGGGAAGTGTGCATTAGTGATAACTTATAGTTCCAGGATGTAGAAAAGGATGACAGTCAATGACTTCTGCAACACAACAGCGAAGAAATACAGGAGTCTTGCTTGCAGAGGAACGCTGGTATTTTGGAGGGCACCGCTGAAAGCAGGAGATCACAGAGCAGTTCATACAAGTATCACAGAATGATTATTGAAGCCTGTATCACTTGTCTCACAATATCGTAGCAGCAACACACGGGAAACTAAATGTAAACGATTGACCCCAACTGTCGAATTTATAGACATAAATGGCCCAGATTCAGTGACACCACCTAGGTTTCCACATAAGCCAATCGGAATGTGATCTTGTATAATATTATTATGACATATTTAAATATAATATAGCTGATAAACACCAAATAGCGTCACAGTATATGTAGACAATATTTCTTAAATGGTTTTCTATATATACACTGAACTGACTATAACTAACCTCAGTAGTGGGGCTAACTATAACTGTTATGTTATATGTGATCAGTTATACCATTACGGATTAAATATTATATTGTTTTCAGAACTTAGTCATTTATACTATATATATCTCTGTATCATAAGTAACATATATGTTTACAGTTACAATTGAACATTTCCTTTGATTTTCCAGAAATAAGTAATTTATATAAGGATACACATAAAAATGACACATAATGTCTTTTTAATGTAGTCATAAAAGAATCAGCACACTTGGAAATCGTACAAGACGAACGCCTGTACTAGACCCTGGTTTAACTCAACAATAGCAATAACATTCTGACCAGTTACTGTCTTAAACTCATTCACTCTATTATAATCGCTAAACTGGATTACGGCAATGCCTTACTCTATGGCTTACCAAAATCACAGATACACCTGCTTCAGAGGGCTCAAAACTGTGCTGCCCGTCTAATTACACGTACCAAATAATTTGATCATATCACTCCTGTTCTTCGTAAATTACATTGGCTGCCAGTTCACTATAGGATACACTTCACAATTTTACAAAGTCACTACATGGTTTGACGCCATCCTACATATCGGACCTTATTCACAAGATCAAAACCAAAGAACCCTTCGCTCAAGTAGGAAACGTACATTTGCCGTACCTAGAACTCATCTCAAGAATTATGGTGACCGGTCATTCGCCCATTCCTCGCCATCTTTATAGAATCAATTACCAAATGACATCTTTCTGCACCAAATGTTAACATCTTCAAAACCAAACTCAAATCTTACCTGTTTCAGCAAGCCTATCTGTAAAACTAAGCGTCATTGAGCATCACTGCGATGGATACTAGGCGCTATATCAACTGTATTTATTATTATTATTACCAGGTATATTCAGTCCAGTCAAAAACTATTCAATCTAAATAAAAATGAGGGACGCCTTATTGGCCTGACAATATACCAAGATTTATTTCTAGTATGAACCTATTATATGAAGATAAAATTAAAATAAATCAAAAGTAAAAATAAATTGAAATCCAGACAGATGATTAAGGTTTATGTTAAACTAATGTTAATGTTTGAGGTTCAATAATCTTCATCGGGTCATCCGGTAGTACAACACATATGGTACCATTATATTCAGTGTTCTCAATCAGCTTTACCACGGTGTCTGTGATGTGTGATTTTCTGAAAATAAAAATATATTTAGTTTATGGTCACTGTTTGTCCTATCAAAACTAATTTTCGCTAAAAAATACTAAAATCCAACAAATAATAGATCACTGGCACATCAGATAAGAATTGTGCAAAGACAATTGTTAATCTACATAATTTCACATACTAAACTATGTTCAGAAGTTTAATATATAATCCTGTTAAACCTAGGATCAAAATAAAAGTGTGTCTTGTAACTTTAGTCATTATTAGTCATTAGCTCCATGAAATATGTTCGCATGATGATATAGTATAACGTTTCCAACAAATAATTGTTAATACTTTCAGTCTTCAGTTAATACTTTCAATATTGAAATTGCCGATGATTTCCTTTAAGGATATCTTGAAACCATCATATTGTGGATTATTAAGTAATCTTACGGAGTTGATGAAAGTGAATCCGCGTATTTTCGGAGTTCTTCAAAATCAGGAATCATGGTGCTGCCAACATTACGCATTGGTCTATCCATTTTTGCAGGACATATGGCTGACACGCGGACTTTATTTTTTTTAAACGTATTGTTATCCTATGGAGAAAATGGTGACAATTACATTTTAAAAAATCTTCAAAAATGATATAATTAATGTTGGCAATGGTTAAAAGCTGCCTGCTAAGTTTTGAAAAGACGGTAAACATTATTTTACACATCTGGAAATGCTAGAACCGAATCGATTTGTTTCAGTTTAATGTAAATCAAATTCACTGAACCAGTCGTATGGCATCTGATACTTCTCATTCGGACGTTCGTCAATCTACGTGTATTATATTTTGTCAGTTTCAATTAAAAAAAGTTCCCGAGACCATGTCAAATCTATGTCACGATACAGAAAACTATTCACTGCACGTCATTTAGCAGATTTTCTTACTCCGGCGCTTTGCACCCCTACCCAATGTTTGAATGTAAGATTGCACTCTGACATTTTCGCGGTGAAAATATCGCTCATACAGACGCGCGAATCTTATTATCGAAATCCCTAGTAATGTGGATTTGATTCGAATCGAATTCGGTTCAAGCCACCTCTGGACTTTTTTGATTAGCGATTTTTAACAAGATTAGCGATTATTTCCGATTTATGCCTCGTACAATAAATGGAAGACTAAACAGTTTCAAATATCTGCAATGAGCTGGTAACCGCAAATCTGGAAAGATAGCAAGAGGTAAAAAGTTATTCCTATAGCAAGAACACTAAGCCGCAATTCATCCTCCCCTTAAATAAATCTTGGACAGGTTTTAAACAATCCTTTTGTGAATTTTCTTCACCAATTCCTAGTTCTGAGTCTTATAACTCTGGATTCTCCAGGAGTTGAAACGAGAGACATTATGTATTTTAACAACGAAGCTATTTTAATATTTTACACTAACATCATTACCATCCTGTCCCAAAGATTTGGTTATTCAAATAAACCCATCTAATTGGTCAGTGTCCAAATTGATAAATAAAATGTTATCTCAATCGACTCAATGGCAGAATCTGTCACGCAGACACAAACAAAAGACAGGATAAGCATTTGTTGCAGTAAAGGTCAGCATTACTCACTCAAATTAAAAAAATCATACATTACTGGGAAGTAATTTATTCATGGTATATTTATATGTAAATTAGCTATTGTTGAACTTTGTGCTCCCGTGTTTTGTTTTGATTACGTTATTCTGTCGCTGTAAAAAAAACTCTTTTTGCGATTACTCTATACTTTTAGTATGGGTTGTATGGGTTTAACATGCTTGTTTAGAGACAAAAAGAAGACTTTTCTGCACAAGGCTTCACAATTATTTGAAATTAACTTCCCTCCCATTACCGAAGTCGGGTATACTAGGAGATATTGCATTATGCACTATGCCTGCGGCTTGTGCAATATGTCGTAGTATACCTGCCTTGATTAAAGCTTAAATGACATTGTAAATATCTTTACCGCAATGCTACGTGTGAATGCCACTATGCCGTGTTTTGTTGCACCATATACTGGAGAATAAGGCCTTGTAATGATGCCTGTTACAAGAAATAACAAATGCTTCATCAGTTGCAATATGTCTCTCAAGTTATTTTAAGACCGGATTATGAAACGAGAAAATCCAGATCCAGCAAACATCAACTTAACAGTCATTTAATATCTGCGTGGATAATGTTCTGGGAGTAAAATTAAAGCTTTTTGTGTGTATTGTCCGTCCGAATTACTTTACTGCAACAAAATAATATTTTTTGGTATCTTTTGCAGACCACTTGTGGGCTGTGTTTTGTCCAAGAGTACGTGTGTTAAAACTGAGAATGCATTCTTTTCTAGTAAATGCTGGGACAATAAAAACAGTTGTATTACTGGCTAAAAATATTAAACTAACATCTTTCTGCTTGTGCTTACCCAGACAAGATGATGTATTAATGACGACCCCACCTCCACCACCACGTGATACTCCCATGTGATCAAGCGCCAGATATGTACCCCTGATAGTCCCTATCTAAATGCAAAATTGTGATAACTGTGTTAAGAAATGTATAACGAAAATTAGGATTTTCCAACATCTGACATACAACCTAACATGTAAGTATGGGAAATGCCATTACATGCATGTGTCACCCACAAGCATATTGTTTTGTTTTTGTTTAGCTTATTAGGCTTGCACCGATTTCTTTGTATATAGTTTCTTGTAAGCAAACAACTTTAATATATGTAAAATCGTCTCTA